AAAATATATATCTCTCACCACCACTATGAGCTGCCAGGGTCTGGAAATTGATAATAATATTTAAAAAAGCAGTGTACATATTCTTTCCATCAGCCTATTATGGTTCTTTTGAGAAACAGCAAGAATAAAAGGGGATTTTACCTTACAGAAATGTCACTACCCATGAACTTTGTCTTGAATGGCCTTCCTGTTTCATATTTGGTCTGTATCTGTCTCCAAAGGTTCCCTCATCACACTGGAGCCTCATAGGAATGACATTTGATCTCGGCCAAGGGCCGGAGCAGCCAGTATCCACTAACCCATTTTATCCTCTGATTACAGCGGCCAGATTGGATTAAGAACCATGCCTTTAAAGAGCCATTGTGGACAGGCCAAGTTATGAATTGCACGTGGAGAGCCAGAAAGAGAATGAGAGAGCTAAAAATGTGAAATTAACTAGAAGTGCACTGCTGTTGTCCGCAGATTTTTGCATTACAGCAGCTCACGTCATATCGCATTTCAGATATTTTTGCATTTTTGAAGTGTGCATTCTTTGCTGAAAGGAAAGCTCAAACCTGACCAGGCTGGTCTGTTTCACTGGTTTAAAAGAGTGTTTCAGCACTTGTCAAGGTGGTTTACGTGACTAGGAGAGCATCTAAGACTGGCATAAACCAGATGAGACCAGCAAATCATTTAGACTGGTTTAAGCCCTTTTTTTCCCACCAGGGCTGAGACCTGTTTGTCACGTTAGAAATATATAAGCGGTGTCTCTGCTGTAGCGTCTGTGTTTGAATGATATTTTCTGGAATGTGCAAATCACTTTCTGTGGCAGTAGAAAATTCTGTCAGCATGAATGTGATTTGGAATTTATGACCACAGAAATGCATCGCATTTTACATCATTAAAGTCATTTAAACACAATTTTCTGGCTGACTTTATATCAGCGAATTTACATCATAAAATGCTTGTTCGATAGCACCCCATTCGGGTACATTGTTCAACAGGAAAATAACTAGGATTATAGAAGACTTGGCTTCTCGCCTACATTTACTGTGTACTATTTTTCTAGCCTTCACTATGTTCACAGCTATGTTTCTGTGCCAGACATTAGAATCAATAAATTAATAACCTGCACATTATCAGCATGACAAATGGTAGCAGCTGTGCTACTTTTCTTGTGAAGCACTCTTTGGAGGTAATCAAACTTTTTTTCTGCCTTTTTCTTTCTTTTTTTTCTTTTCTTTTTTTTAACTATGAGTCTTCCGGAAGCACAAAAGAAAGGATCTCCAGAAGGAATTACGGAAATAGACAGAAAATAATGAGATTCGCTCTCACTACATATTTTCCACTGAAGAATTACAACGAGCATGGGGCGACTCCTTAATTATAAGAGTAAATGAATTGCCAGGTTTTGTCTCCTAATGATACCATGTGGGAAATGGCAAACATTCGTATCTAAATTATGATCAACCATTTCAAATCATGATTAAATAACATCATGCTATATCCTACGTATATCACTCGCCATCATTCATTATTTTCCTCATTCCTCTTCCCTTGTTAAAAGTGACACCGTCAGGTGAGAGCGCTGCATTGTCATCTTGTCTAGGTCCCTTAAGAGAGAGCATCAAGATTACTCACAGTTTTCACAATAAATCTTTGCAATTGTGAGAATGGCTTTTGCCTGTAATTTATCATAGCTGTAAAGCAGAGGACAGGTTGAATAGCCCCCTGCTAGTTTTCATAAAGCAACAGAGCGCTGATGCAATTTTCCCAGTAAATGTCTCTACCTTCGTTATTTGTCATGACACAGAAATCAGTTTATGAGAAGTTCATGTAGATAAGTGTTATGAATACAGTGACCCTGAAGACTGTTTTGCCACTCTTAAAAATGCCTGAAAGCCAGCATATTAGAAAACCAAATCAAGCCAATTAGCAACAAGTTGCTAAATGTTAACTCTTTAGCCTGTTATGCTTGAAAAGTGAAATTCTCTCATTTACTCATCCTCATTCCAAAGCTGTGCGACTTGCTTTCCTCTGTGGAACACAAAAGAATTTAATATATATATATATATACTTTTTTTTGTAATACATTGAAAGTAGGGCTGCACGATAAATCGCATGCAATATTTAATGCGCATCTTGTCAGAAAGCCGGTTCTGTAATCAGCGGTAAATCTCCATCACGTGCGTGCTTTCACATTGAGCAGCATTAACTACACAAAGTCGTTGTTCAGTGACGAGGTGCGCAAAAAATCGCGCGAATATGAACGTGGTTTTGCGCAGCTCGTCAGTGAACAACGGCTCTGTGTAGTTAATGCTGCTCAATGTGAAAGCACGCACGTGATGGAGATTTACCGCTGATTACAGAACCGGCTTTGAGTGGCCATGCAAGAAGGACACTGGAGACCAATGAAGGAGCTTCAGGGGCTGAGATTGGAGAGACTGTGGATATGAAAACTGTCATCTGGGTGCTTCAGCGGTCACAGCTTTATGGAAGAGTGACAGGGAGAAGCCACCGTTGAAAATGTCATATGACATCTCGGCCGTAGTTTGCCAGAAGGCATGAGGAAGACTCTGAAGCCAGATGGAAGAAGAGCCTCTGGCCTGATGGGACCAAAATTGAGCTTTTGGCCATCAAACGAAATGCCATGTTTGGTGTTCGCCAATCGCTGTGCATCATCAGAAACGCAGCATCCCGACCATGAAGCGCGGTGATGAAGTTCTGCGGTAGATCCTGGAAGGATTGTGGGGTGTAGCGGATGAAATCAATGCAGCGAAACACGGGAGGAAAACCTGATGCACTCTGAGACACCTGTGACCCAGGAGATGATTTATTTTCTGGGACGGCGACCCAAGCACGAAGCCAAAGCTGCACAAGAAGTGCTTCTAAACAATGTTGAAGTCCAGGAGTGGCCAAGCCGAGATCTCAATCCAATTGAGAACTTATGGGTGGACTCGGATCAGATCAGATCTCCATGAAACCAGACTGAGCTTAAGCAGTTTGTCAAAGAGCAGTGGGGGAAGCATTGCAGTGGCTGACAGAGACCCATCCAGACAGACTTGAGGCTTGTGAAATTCTTCAAAAGATGCATCAACTAAGTAGAGTTGTGCGCAGTTCAGAACTGAATTGAGAATTGCTTTTCAATTCCAAATCAGTTACTGAATTTGAACTGAGGTATGAAATGGGATGCAGATTGCAATTCAAATGTGAAAGGAAGTAGAATTTACATTCATTTAAAAGAAATATGACTATTTTGAACTAAATGCAACAGTCAGGTTCCAAAAGTAAAATTTGATTTTCTCCTTAGCAAAAATTATTTTTTTAAAGACGGACCTGTTGTGAGCTCCGAGGTTGTTTATCGATGATATTTTCTGAAGCCATCTGTTAACATTTTTAAAGTAGTCCTGTTTAACAGCAGACAACATCTGTGATGAAAAACTGCATTACCCATGATGCTGTGCAGAAAATTTGTGCCAAAAGAGCTTGCTGTGAAAGTTCTCTCCCATATCAAGTTGGTCTTCATCCGCTCTCAAAATACTTAAATATTTGTATGTGTGTATATATATATATATATATATGCTTATTATACAATAAACGTAATGTATTTTTTTCTACAGATATAATCAACTTTAAATCCATAGTTTTATATTTCAACATTGTTTTTAATAGGGCTGCACGATAAATCGCATGCGATATTTAACGCGCATCTTGTCAGAAAGCCGGTTCAGTAATCAGCGGTAAATCTCCATCATGTGCGTGCTTTCACATTGAGCAGCATTAACTACACAGAGCCGTTGTTCACTGACGAGGTGCGCAAAAAATCGCGCGAATATGAACGTGGTTTTGCGCAGCTCGTCAGTAAACAACGGCTCTGTGTAGTTAATGCTGCTCAATGTGAAAGCACGCACATGATGGAGATTTACCGCTGATTACTGAACCGGCTTTACTGATAAGATGCGCGTTAAATATCGCATGCGATTTATCGTGCAGCCCTAATTGAAAGTCATTCCTATTTCATGTTCTGTAGAAGAAAGAAATTCATAAAGGTTTAGAACGACATGAGGTGGAGTAAATAATATCAGAATTTTAATTTTGGGTGAACTATCCTTTTAATATTAATACATGCACATATGCATTACACTATCTGTAAATCACGAATACTGAATTAAAATGCATTACAAATAATGAATTTCTTCTTATCTACCTTTTGCTTTTACCCCATTGTACTATTTGAATTGCTGGATGGATGTATAACCTGGCACGTGTGACTTTAGGCATTTAGCACCTGTTGCTGGTAATTGTGCTGGAGTTTAGCACATGCCGCACTCGTCTGCGACGGCAGTTCAGTCAGAAGCTAGACTGAAGGGAGAGGAGGAACACAGAGATAACCCAGCCGCTCTCTCTCTAACAGATGGACTAATAGCATAATTAAGTAGCCGCGCGCCCGGTTCCTGTTTACCATCATGTTGCTAAGCAATGACATCAGCCAATCCCTCCGTATAATCCTGCCCCCTCCCTCTCTCTCTATCTCTCCCACATGCATTCATCCCGGTAACAGTCTTAGCGTGCTGTAGTGGTCTGAGCGCAGCTCACAGGCAGACGGCATGACCACAGTGTGCTGTAGCAGCCCAAAGCCTCTCATGTAGCCCACCGCTGCGATCGCAAACTCACACACACATGCACTTACACACCAAGACACGCTCAGTTGCTCTTCAGGGACACTAAGAGATTACCAGATCAAAGAAGATTTGACTTTTGAATTTTTTTTGTATTTTTTTTTTATTTGATTTTCTTTTTCTTCTTTTTTTTTTTTGTACTGTTACCACCCGCCCTTTGCCGGGTTCAGGGGTGGTGGCACATCCTCAAAAGGGCTGCATGAATGACACAACGCAAAGGCGAGAAGACGACCATCAGCATCCAGGAGCACATGGCCATTGATGTATGTCCAGGTCCCATTCAGCCCATCAAGCAGATATCTGACTATTTCCCCCGTTACCCACGGGGTCTCCCCCCCACAGCTCCCCCGGCCCTCAGCCGCGCCGGCTCCCTGCGGAGCACCTCTACCAGCCAGAAGTCGGAGGGCCCGGCCGCGGACCCCAATCGGGATGAGGACGACCTGGACCAAGCCTTCGGTGCCACCGCACTCGTGGCCAGCAAGAAAGAGGAAGAGCCAGACGTGGAAGGCTACGATTCGGACGACTCCAGTGAGTAGTTGTTTCTGACTCTTTGTCTTTGTGCCACTCTAGAACTGACAACTGTTGCCGCAGATTCCTCTGCCTGTTTGTTTTCACTCAACTGTATGAATGGAGCTCCATGGAATGGCAGCTCTGATTGAATTTTTGGAAATGGCTTGAATGGTTTATTTAGCATGTGATTATTTGGGTTCAGACAGACAACGTATTGAAGGGGCACGTGGGTTATGTCAAGCCTTTCCCTATACTGTGCTTTTTTGTGTTTGTTCCATCGATCGACACATCTTTAAAGTGATTCTTGTGGGCATCAGGTGCGAGTCATCTGTTCCTGTTGTATATCTATATCTGTAGAGCTCTTGTCTGTCCCAGATGTAAATCCTATTATGGACCTCTGCCTGCCTCTCCGTTTGGAGTCCGGTTTTCAATCATGGCAGCCTGTAGACTAGATTAGATAGAGCCCTGCGGTCTCATGTGGTTATTTTATCATTATCGTGCTCTGTCTTAGATGGGGTTAATCCATACAGTGCCGAGCTGGACGTGTGTGTCTGAGCATGTGTGCTGGTGGAAAAACAAGTGGCTATAACGATGCAACGATGGGGTCTGGATCTAATCCCGGATGGCTCTGGCATAGCACGCAATGATCTGTTACTGACAGATGTTAAACTTTGACCTTCATGCAAGACCAAGAGTGAGCTGCACAGTGCAAATCATTTTCTAAATCAATATTTTGTTGCTTCAGGGAAATATCTAAACATCCTTGAAATTAGATTGAATTACCTGAGAAGCAAAAACAGTCAGTTTTAGTTTCAATGCACCCTCTGTAAGTTTTATTTAAAAGGAACACCAAAATAAAAATTCAACCTCATGTCGTTCCAAACCTGTATGACTTACTTTCTTATGTGGAACACAAAAGAAGCTATTTTGATGTGAAAGTCAATGGGGTACAAAACAACACTGATCCCCATTGACTTCCATTGTATGTACCCAAAAACACTGAGACATTTCTCAAAATATCTTCTCTCATGTTCCACAGAAAAAAATAGTTACACAGATTGAAAACTACATGAGGGTGAACCCTTTAAGCAAGACATATTAGGATTGATGGATAATGACAACAAGCAATCTGTAGCACGTTAACTGCCCAAAGATTATCTGAAGTGCATCTTTGTCCTAGTGTAATTGCACGCTTTGCTGTCGACTGCAGTAATCAATATCAATCGCTCATACGCAACAGTCTGTCACAGGTTGACGAAATGTGCCGGCCAATATAACCAGTCCTTCACCTTTCATGAGGCAGTGTAATTCATGTAGATATGCTGTATCTGCGAGTGTGATCATAAAAGCAGAGGATCGTGGGACTGCGGTCTGGTGCGCCTGTGTTTTATGATGATAGATTAGCATGGACCTATTGTGCTGTGATTCATCGGTGTGTCGCTCTAAATCATAACCCTCTTCCTGTTCTCTCGATCTCGCCTGTTGTCTGAATCACAATGCACATATTAGTTGCACAACAGAGAGACAAATTAAATCCTAACCTGACATGTTTGTTATGTGACTCATGAAATACAAATAAGCCAATTATACTAATTTGCCAGAGCATTTAATGGTTCGAACGTCTCACGGGGAGTTTAGCAGAGTAAGTTAGAGGAAGAAAATCGTCTCTGAGGGAACAAACTTGAGGCTTTGCTAATGCAACAGATGGATTACAAGGAACTTCCACAAACATTTGGCAATGGCGTCTCTTCGGCTCTGCCGACAAACCTTTATGAGTTGAGTACTACAGGACAGATTGCAAACAGAGCAGTCTTCTGTTTCAGAGCTTATTTAAGAGCCGGATCCAAACAAAATTGGACTTGAATTTTAGCTGAGCACTTTTGTCAGTTGCAAACATACAACTGGTTGCTTCATCAGTACATAGTATCCAAGCTGGGAAGAATTTAAAATAAAATTATGAATTCCCATTCGGCTTTGAAACCCCTTACTAAATACCTCCTGTTTGTCACTCATGCTGAAAGCCTCACTGACCTCTCGACTTGAATTAACTACGGCTCTGCCAGCCTTTATGAGTTGAGTACTACAGGACAGATTGCAAACAGAGCAGTCTTCTGTTTCAGAGCTTATTTAAGAGCCGGATCCAAACAAAATTGGACTTGAATTTTAGCTGAGCACTTTTGTCAGTTGCAAACAAACAACTGGTTGCTTCATCAGTACATAGTATCCAAGCTGGGAAGAATTTAAAATAAAATTATGAATTCCCATTCGGCTTTGAAACCCCTTACTAAATACCTCCTGTTTGTCACTCATGCTGAAAGCCTCACTGACCTCTCGACTTGAATTAACTAAACACAGATGCTTTGGGAAAAACAAGCCACTTTGACTGATGCAATCCACAAAATACCAATGAGTAACCTGTGAGTAGGGCTGAACGATTTTGGAAAATAATCTAATTGCGATTTTTTTTAACCAATATTGCGATTGCGATTTAATATGCAATTATTTTTTTAAGCTCTTTATGTTCTGTATTATTCAACAAAGACAAGCTATAAATCATTGTATAGTATGACCAACACACTATTAGACAGATTGAACATAAATGTTCTTTTCTGTAGGCAAGGCCTATATGTTACAATGAAATTAGGTGATGCATGAATTGATATGAATTACATTTTTATTCAACAACTACTATCACAGTAGTATATTGACTGATTTGTTGAACTTCCAACCTTGTAAGCATGTAATAATTATGACAACATAAAGCACTGACAAATAAGCCTGGTGTAAACATTAATATGAAAGTCAGTAACAAATCACACAACCTAAAGTAGATTGCAGAAATATAAAAACAAATCTGTTGCTTTACCACACTAGGTAATTCAAAGTCACTGTAATAAACTTATGACATAATAAATATGTGGATTGCACTAAACACTGTCTGTTAACTTTAGACCAGTTGTTCTCAAACTTTTTTGGTCGCGCCCCCCTTTAAACCTATAAAAAAATCTTATCTTAAAAAATCTTATCTTATCTTCACCTGCATAACTTGAAACATTGAAAAATAGCATATAGAGAATAACTGTTATTAT